TTTTTTTTTTTTTTTTTTTCCTCAAGGGGATTTTTACGGTGGGTTTTTTTTCTGGCCTCCGTTCTAATCGCTTTTCTATTGTAAGCGGTTGCTCAGCTCCGTTATTATCTTCATCGCGCGCCAAAAAAACTATATAAAGCCACCTTAAATGGTACGCTATAGTTGTATTTTGGGTTTTTGGTCCAAAGTAGTGGCACCCTAGCCCAGGATAGAAATCGCTCCAGCTCAGCACGAAATTTGATGAGACAAATTTTTAAGGTAGTAAAAAATTTGACAGTTATAACTTCTGATTGTTTTTTTGTTGTTCGTGATCTTAGGGAGCTCGTTTCATCCGCGATACTCAGCTGGACCTGCATGCCGGGAAACGTGATGCCCGGAAAGGCCTGTCGGTTTTTGTGTTGCGAATATTTTTGTAGCGACGATCGTCATATTGAAAAGATATATTTAATTGGGTAAATGAGTAGAGATATTTTCAAGTGGATTAGCAGTTTAAGAATATGTATTGTTACTTGGAGATGAAAANATGAGACAAATTTTTAAGGTAATAAAAAATTTGACAGTTATAACTTGTGATTTTTTTTTTGTTCGTGTTCGTGGTCTTAGGCAGCTCGTTTCATCCGCGATACTCAGCTGGAACTGCATGCCGGGAAACGTGATGCCCGGTAAGGCCTGTCGGTTTTTGTGTTGCGAATATTTTTGTGGCGACGATCGTCATATTGAAAAGATATATTTAATTGGGTCAATGAGTAGAGATATTTTCAAGTGGATTAGCAGTTTAAGAATATGTATTGTTACTTGGAGATGAAAACTGTTCAGCTGCCGAAAATCGGAGTAAGCTAACAGTCTCTTCAAGCTGTGCGATATTAGCCAACTCAGGTGAACTATATCCTCACTTTTAAAAACTTTTATATAACGGCCGAATTTAGACCAATTTATACTAGAGACGAATTATCCGTCAGAGATGGGTATCTCGTCTCTGGTATAAATTCGGCCATCACAATGGTACACAGTGATGGAACATTTTGATATTTGAAAAAAAGCATCTTCATTACTAGGGCTTTTCCACTGAAATTTGGAAGTCATTTCGGACAGAATCAGTTACCGTTTCAGCATGTATACCGATGTATGAATCTCCAACTTTGTGAGACCTGAGGTCTAGCAAAGCCTATATTTTTCGTAGAACTTAAGTTATGTCTTCCCCCTTATCAGCTGCTTTTTTTGTCCAACAGAAATAAGGTACTAATTCTGTAAGAACTGCAGGATGAGAAGAAACAGAACCAAAGGGATAGTGACCTGGCTTTTTCTTACTGTGGTGGCAACATATTCTTTGTGCTTGTTAATGTGCCAGTATTACAAGTATATCAAAAAGGTAATGTGAATGCACTATACGCCATGAAGCCAATTTGGGATCCTTAATTGTGATCATGGGACATAGACATACTTTTAGACAGTTTATTTGCTTGGTCACACACTTAGTTATGGTATCGGTGCGTCCCATAGACTTGATAAGCAGAGTCTGCGGGACGCACCAGCTAGTTTACAGGTGCACCAAGAAAACAAAATAACAAAGTAGAAATGTATGTACAATTGGTTATAAAATATTAAACTAAACTATCTAAGAATATATAACTATTTAGTAAACAAACCCCTTCAGGTGGCTGGTATGTCAGCTGATAATGTCCGCGGCTGAGAGATTGTGCGAAAAATGAATTTTCACCATGTAACGTAAAGTAACCAATAAAATTGCACCAAAATTAATGGGTGAGTTATAAATATAAATATCTAAGAATGTATAAGAATATATAAACAATAGCCTCCATTTGGTGGAAAATATGCTCAGATATTTGTCTGCGGACATTATCTGTTCCGAGAAGCGAACTGTGAGCTTTGAGAAACAGATAATGTCCAAGGACAAATATCCGAGTATATTTTTGCGCAAAATTGGGGGCTATTGTCTTTATTATCCTTCAAATATTTTTCGCAACACATGCAGTTTTGAAAATAGGGGAATATCCTCAGTTATTCCCCAGTTTTAGATGGGGAATATTCGGTCATGTGACACATTTAGACCAATTGCGTGTGAGCAACAATATTGGATGGATTATAAATAAGAATATCACTAGATTTGATTTCTTTTTAAGACTGTAATGTTACAAACTGTCCTTTGACAATTTTCAAAAAGAACTTTTGGTGCATTAAATGATGGGAATATGTTCATTTAAAAGCTAATAATGCATGAACCATTTTTCGAGGAAATTGCAATGTTTTTTTTACCAAGAAGGGTCTTCACAGACTGAAGAGTTACAGGTAGTTGTCATCAATTAGCCCGATTGTTTGATAGAACTTTTCCACCTTCCACATGACTGGGGCCAACTTTGTCACAAATATGGCATGGTCGCCGAGCTAGAATCTTAAATCTTGTAGCCAAGACATCTGGTTACGGATTGAGAGAAAGTAGATGTGGAAACCTCAAGCTCAAAAACCAGTGTTTCTCAAGCAGTTAAGATAAACTTTGGAACTTAAGGAGAAGCAAATAGGAAGAAGAGTTTTTGAAGGTTGCTTTGAGGCAACTTTGGCAAGATTGGACCATTTTTGTGGAATATAAAGAAGTTTGATTGTAGGCTGTTGGCCCATTGGGTCATCCACCTTTGTTTTTCTGTGCATAGTGGAAGCAATACACCAGTCAAGAAAGTATACATAACTTACTTAAAGCTCTCTCCTCTTGATTTTTGGAACTTATTAATGTATTTTTCCTCATAGGATCCAACAACATGGTCAGAATGTCAGGAGATCATTAAAGAAAGTTTTCTCTCATCACTCCTACAAGACAGGATATGTAGCAATGAAAAACCCAGCGATGAGGACGTGTTTTCAAAATACAAAGGAAAGGATTGTGATTTAGTGAGAAGGGAACTTTTTCCACACCCTACCCCCACACAAGAAGAGAGGAACTTCCCCATTGCTTATGCAGTGGTTTTATTCAAATCTGCAAACTTGGCAGAGAAAGTTTTACAATCTGTATATATGCCTCACAATACCTATTGTATCCACGTGGATGTAAAATCGTCAGATACTTTTCGCAATGCAATGAAGGCTATGACTGATTGCTTAGATAATGTCTTCTTTACCAGTAAACGAGTTGATCTCGTATGGGCCCATGTTAGTACACTTTACGCTCAGCGCAACTGTTTAAGAGAGCTAATGGAGAGCCCAGTTAAGTGGAAATATTTTATGCACATTTCAGGGCAGGAATTACCCCTTTATACAAATGCTGAAATTGTTCATGCATTGGCAATGCTGAATGGGTTTAACAACATCGAAAGCTTTGCTATTCCGCCAAACAACTGGGGCCGAATGCAGTATTCTCATGAGTTAATGAAAGTGAAAGGCCGAGAATTTCATAGAAGCTACATAATGATAAGAACAGAGGTGACCAAACAGCCACCACCTTGGAGTATTAACCTTCAAAAAGGCTCCAACTTTGTCGCCATTACAAGAGAAGCAGCTAACTACATTCTACACAACCAGGTGGCGATAGACTTTTTAGACTGGCTAAATGACACTGCTAAACCTGATGAGACATTCTATTCATCTCTCCAACAACATCCGGGATTCCCAGGTGGTATCCATGGTGATCAGCCTGAGTGGATTCTGCGTGCAGTGAGTTGGCAGATGGAGAACACGTGTTATGGCAGGTGGATCCGGGGTGTGTGTTGGGTCACAATGCGTGATCTAATCTGGATTCTGGGTTCAACTATGCGGCAGAAGCTTTTCGTAACAAAGATTCCGTTTGAGTATCGAGATGATCTCCTCAAGTGTTTGTCCATAGCGAGAAGGACAAGGAAATATGGCCAGGATGTATTCCGTGTTTCTGGAGTGTTATAAGGACACCATGAGGATAAATGCTAAAGCTAAACTTCCACGTGGACCACAGGCTCACTTAGCTGGAGTTTATTCTGGATTCCTTGGCATGAAGCCAACAGGAGCATTGCTACTCCTGGATGGGATGCTAGTCCATCATAGGTTTTTAAGCTAAAACCATTTACAAGTCTGGTTTTACTGACAGCATATGCTTACTAGTACACATTTACACTTCTGGGTGGAGAACAACATTGGATGTTTTCCATTATGTTAGACCGACTGGTTAGAGACCAGTGGGATTGAGGTGGGGTACACCCAAAATACGGACATTTTTGCAAAAATTCTCACTCCCAGGATTTAATTTCAAACCTTGGAAAACTGTATATCCCTGTAAAGCTTATGGATCAAAGGTTCTGAAAAAAAGTGTTTTAGGTCTCAAATCTTAATGAAACATTAGTCTTTTCAGGTGCAAATGACATTAATCTCTTTTTAATGATATTCAACTGAAAGGAATGGCTTTAACCATTTTCCATTCATTTTCCCAATCCCCCACATTGTGAGAATCTACTAGAGAGAAGTAGGACAACAAACCGATTTGTTAAAACATAATGGAAGATTTAGGTTTGACAAGTCAGACCAATAAAAGTGGAGCACCACTGGAGGTGGTCCACTTTAATGAACTGTACCAGACCAAAACAGACCTTTCCATTTGGCTTTCCATTTGACTTTCAACCGGCATAATGGAATTAAGCACCCAATTGGGTCTGTGAGAGTTAAGTGTCATGCCCTGAGAGACGATACTGGAACCTGTTACCTGTTAAAACTTAATTTGCTGTCAGAACAACACTTTCAAACCTTGTCCTAAAATCTACTTTGTACATTTATTTATTTATTTATTTATTATTTATTTGTTTTATTTATTTTATTTAGCTCTGCTCTCCTTGATTTGTTCAGGAGTAACTTAATGTAACTGTAGGCTAACTCGAAAACTTCCCAGTTATTTAACCTCCAGGCTCAATATTTGTACTTTTTTTTAGTTTGTGTGTGTGTTAGTTATATATATTTATAATATAAATAGGACCCTGTGCACGCTCTGATTGGTCAAAACCCTATGTTTTATTAGAGTATAAAACATTGAAAAAGTGTGTTATTTTTTTTCGCCACATTACCTCTATATCATAAATAATAATAATAATAATAAT